AGCTAGGTTATTAGACTAACAAGAATCAAAATCAAACATTCATTAAGAACAAAACTGAAGAATCTAGATAGAAACACAAATCAAAAACCAGATCTAATTATCAATCACATGAAAAGTACTTGTCTTTGCATAACTGAAAACTAGGGTTTAGCCAGACATGGCCAAAATATGATCAAAACAGATGAAAAGAGACATCAAACAACTAATCTTACTAATCCACTTGAAGGAGACGATCCACAATCTTCATATCTTCGGAAATCGGAGAAGAATGCCTCCATAATCGTATTTTCGTCGTCCTGTACATTTGGAATCGCCAACTTAGGTTGCCGGAATGCTATCAAGGTCTATTTATACGTCCAGCAGCAAAAACGACGCGCATGCGATCAGAGGGTTTGAAGAAAACGCGTCTCTTGCCTTTTTAATGAAGTAGGATGTTATTTTGACACTTTTTGGCCAACCTGCGATCGCAGGTATTGAGTTTTCACTCCCGAATGAATTTTGGGCACAAAAGAACCTCGAAGACAAGTTGTGACCTAACCTGCGATCGCATAAAGCCTAAGACGTCCGAAATTTTGTCTATTTTCAGATCATTTTGAATCGCGTCAATCGGAGTTACGGTTTTCGAGATATGGTCAAAATATTGACAGGGGGTTAAAGCTGCTAGCAACATCCTTTAACTTTAGATTGTAGATTCTATCTTCGTGTGATCAATTCGATCGAATGTGTTTCTTGACCAAAGCATCTTCCAATCATTCCACAACATACTCCATAAGTTTCAAGCTCCATTTTAAGCTCCAAACGCGCATCCAACTGCTCCCAAAGCACTGCTCCACTCAAACTATCTGAAATTGACAACATGAGCAGTATGATAATTTTAACAAAATACTGAGCTGCACATTATTTAAATGACATGCAAATGTAAAAAATATGATCCGAAATACTAATAATGAAAACTACCCTAAAAATGCATAAAATGACATCTAACACACACATCATTTCTAAAAACTTTGACCCATACTATAGATTAGTATCAACACAATGACCAAACTGTCATTTACCATAAAATAATCTTTTACATTTGAAAATACAATGACGTTTCATAAACCATATAGGAAGATGTCAATGGACATATATTATTATCTCATCAACGGGTGTTCTTCACCCGATCTTTTTTTTTTATTACAAGACATAGGGTAATGTGTAAAACGACTAATGGTGAATGTTCCTTTGTGATTATGCACGTGTAAATATTCGAAAGGCAACATTGTCATATATTCTTGAAAGAAAAAGGGATAATGTCACTGTAGCACATGGAACTTTTAACATTTGGCTAATTTGGTCCTTAAAGTTTTTTTTTTGGTACATTAGACCATTAAACTCGTAATTGACCTTTTAATTACACCATTTTAGAAGGTTTCCCAATTACAATGCTTATGTGGCACGCTGATGTGTCCAATAAGCTTACGTGGTCCAGTTGTCGATACAGGCTTATTAATTGAAACCTTCATTCGGACCTCCTTTTAATCTTTACTTACCATTCTCTGAAAAGTCAGAGACTTCTCCCTCCCCGACTATTTCCATCCTGAAGAAGAATGTCTTTGAGCTCATTGACGTCAAGGAATTAGCTACAAGTCACTCATGTTCAGTCGCAAGAAGGGGTAAAGGTTTGTGATTGTGTCGTTCCAGCTAAAGAACGAACCTGTTGGAAGATAAAAAACCTTGGGAGGCGATTCTGGAATTGTCAAAACAGTATGGTAGGTCCCGATTCTCTTGATTTAGATAAGTTAGTATTTTATGGTTTGATGTGTTGTTTCTTTCTCAAAAGACGATAATGGTGTATTTGTATTTTGTTTCATCTATTAAAAACCTAATTTTATTTCCTTTCTTGACGATCACTGTGAATAAAACCCATTTCGCTCGTACATTAAAGGTAGTTGATTTGGGATTGTCAGTCAAACCCTAATTTTATTGGCTTTTTATAGACTAGGTTGAGGAAATGTAGCTTCTTTGAATGGAAAGATGAAGAACAGGCAGACGGGTACTACAAAAACCTGCTATATTCTCTGAAGCAGAAACTGGATGCCAAAGATGAAATATCTGAGATGAATAATTTGAGAAGAAGGATTGCTGAAGTGGAGTTTCTGCTATCATAGGAGCAGTATAAGGTGGCAAAGAGTGAGAAAGAAGTTCATGATGCAAGGAAGGCAATAGGCAGGTACAGTATGATAGTTGCCCTGTTGTTTGCTTGCTTGGCCCTATGTGTTTTGAAGTTAGGGGGACCAATGTAGTTAGTTTAGTTGGTTAGGGTAAGCTTTTGTTTTTTTGAGATCCCTTGTATTTTTTGTAAAGGCAGACTAGAAAGTCAGTTCCATAAGGGCATTTTGTATGTATTGAAGCTGGTTTTAGTTATAAGTTGGGGTTATCAACCTTAACGTGTTGATGTTGTAAGGTGGTAAGTCCCTAATGAAAGGGCATATGATAAGTAATGTAAAAAAATATTCAAAGTCCCAATTATAGGGCATTTTGTATAATCAGATGATGTTTATCAAACATATGCCTGGTCTATATTCCCAACAAATATATTTAATTAGGAAGTGGTCCATGTGGAAGTACACTATGTGTATGGGGACCATTTTAATAATGAAAAAATAGGAACTGTGAAGCCATTAAAAAACCAAACTCGGGGCCATATAAAACATCCCCATGCATGCGCATTATTCCAATTTTTTCCATGCATAAATATTTAAAGCCAAATGTCACGATTTTACTTAAAATGGTAACATACTTTCATACTTCATGTCATACATAAATAAATGGCCAACATACCCTTTTCTTGCATACATAAATAAATGACCAACATACCCTTTTCTGTCATACATACTTAAATGACCAAATTACCCTTTTCTTACATACATAAATGAATGACCAAATTATCTTTTTCTATCATACATACTTAAATGACCAAATTACCCTTTTCTTGCATACATAAATGAATTACCTACATACCCTTATCTGTCATCAATAAATAAATGACCAAATTACCCTTTTCTGTTATAAATACTTAAATGACCAGATTACCCTTTTTCTTTCATACATACTTAAATGACCAAAATACCCTTTAATGTCACACATACTTAAATACAAATTACCAACATCCTATTACATAAACTTTAAATATAAATTATCATCATCCTATTACATAAACTTTAAATCCAATTTACCATCATCCCATTACATAAACTTTAAACACAAATTACAATAAACACTAATCAATTACAAGAGCTTTTCCCTTCGAATTTCATGGATCATCAACACCACCAATTGTTTTGCCTAATTTCAGCTTCAGTATTCTCTCTAACTTTCTTCTCTTTATCCTCTTCAAAATATCTGAAATTGGCCTAACACAAACCTGCTGAACTTGGTTAACAGGAGCAACCTCCTGAACATTACCATTATCCACTTGGGCATTAGGATTAACCTCATCAACCTCCTGAACATTTACATTATCAACTTGGATAACAGGATCAACCTCCTCATCTTGAACAACTTGCTCAACCACAACAACTTCCTCAACCACATCAGCTTCCTCACCCATAACACCCTCATCACCTTCAGAACATCTAGGTGGAGTAAATTGCATATAATGACTAAAATCCCCTGCACTACTAGATTCAACATCAGTAGGAGCAACTTGCATATCATTTTGAGTAGTATCCATCTCAATTGGAGTCATTTCAACCTCTTCATGTTGTTGTGCTTCACTTGTACTACCCTACATGACATGATATAATTATGTTAGTAACAAATTATATGTAATTAATCTTATATTTTAAATTGTTTTACCTGTCCTGCATTTTGGTTCACACATACTTTTTGTTTCTTCTGTTTCTTCACATTTAACTTTTGGGGTCTTCTCTGTGGACAAGTGGCCTTGTTGTGACCTATCTCCTTGCAAATACTACATTTGATTTTCTTTCCAGCCTTAGAAACCATGTGTGTTCCTGTATTCTCTGTAGTGGATTTCTTCCTCTTAGTAGTTAGCCTAACAGGCATCCTTCTATTAATAGGAGGCAATGGTGGAGTATAGTTTGTCTCTGACCATATGTCACTGCTATTCATGGGAGCAATTCTGTAATTGTATGCCTTTCTAAATGTGGTTGTGCTAAACATGTTGTCTATATAGGCTTTTACATCCTTATTAAGAAAGGATATGCTAGCTACAGAATGAGCACATCTATATCCATTCAATTGCCACAACCTACATGAGCATGTTTTTCTTTCTAAGTTCACCTCATATGCATCTATTGCTCCCCTTACCTCAAACTAGTTTAATCCACTTGGTAGTACCTGATAATGCCTTTGAGCTTTTTTAAGCAAATTCACCTTATCCTTTATCTCTGGACAAATATGATTTCCCCATTGTTATCCCTTTAATTTCATGTTGTAGATTCTATCCATCATGTATAATCTTATCTCCTCTAACATGGTTATTATGGGCTTCTTCCTAGCATCTACTATTACAGCATTAAAACTTTCTGAGAACCCATTTTCAACTGCATCACAACACCTTCCAGTTTGAAAGAAAGCTCTAGACCATGTTTTAGGATCTTTCTCCATGAGATATTGATGGGCATCTGGGTTCAATATCTCAATTTCTTTCATCACAACTTTAAAAGCATGCTCAGTTGTGGCTTTAGATGCTCTCCAAAACAAGGTATGATATATGGCACCAGTAAATCTCTTCTGCAAATTCTGGCAAATATGTCTAGCACACTGCCTATGCTCTACATATGGCAGCAACTCTTTAACAGCCTCTATCAAACCCTGTATTAGTAAAAAGGTTAAATTCATATAGTCTAAAATTAACATAAATGCATTACTATGTAAAATACTAACCTTATGTTGGCTGACATTAAACTGAAACCATTGTGTCTAAATTCAAGTGTAGATCATCAATGAGAAGCTCTAGAAACCACTTCCAATTCTGCTTGTTCTCCACATTAACCACTGCCCAAGCAATAGGACTTGTCATTTGCATCCCTCCCAATAGCACAAAGCAGTTCTCCCTTACAAACACCTTTAAGAAAACATCCATCAAGACCAATTATCCTTCTACACCCTTCAATCCAACCTTGTTTAACTCCTTGAGAACAACAATAGAACTTGCTAAAATATTTCTTTCCATCTGGCCCATCCTCCATATCTAGTTTCACAGTTGACCCATGATTTGTCCTTAAAATCTCATGACCATATGACCATAGCTTACCATAATGTTCAACAAGGTTTCCTTCAACAAGTTTCAGTGCATACTTCTTTGCTCTTCTACATTGCCCCATACTAACTTGGATACCAAACTTGGCCATTACCTTTAACCTAAGCTTCCTTACACTTATTTTCTGACTTTCTACAATCTCTTTGGTATAGTGACTCCCAATCCATGCATATGTCACCAATGATCCAAACTTGAAGTTCCTAGCACAATTATGATCAGCTTTTAGTGACTTGATTTGGAAACTCTCATCATCACTCATCCAGGAAGCCCATAATCTAAATGTGCAAGCACCTTTGCTACACCTTACCAAAAGTCTTGTCCTATCATTTTTTTCAAAACACAATTGATATCCATTAGCTACAACATAGTTACACAACATTGATTTTACTTGCCCTGGACCCTTAAATCTCATCCCTAGAATTGGTTTTTGTTTTTTCCAGTGTAATAGCTCATTAAATATGGAATGGGGCTTGTATGTTAACTTCAACTTCTCTCCCATTGTCATCATCTACAATGTTGTTTGCATTTCTCATCATCAACACATAGCTTACTCAAGAAAGGATCATTTGATGTCCTATTCATATGCACTACATCCTCATTAAATTCAAAGGCAACATTTCTAAGTTCATCTATGTTGTCTTCATTTTCACCATCAATACAAGAGTCATGTTCATCATCATCATTATCTTCATCATCATGCCACCCATCAACACCAACCCCAATATGATCCACATAAACCGAAATTACACCATCTGTTCCATAAGCATAAAAAATAAAAGCAGAATATTCCACATCATCTGAAATGGGATTAAGCCCTTCCATGAAGGACATGCCTGGTTCATAGTAGCAAAACTTTTTACACTCTTCATGCATGAAACGTTCGCAGAAGGTCACAAACTCAGAATAAGTCATAGAAGAAAAGTCAACATCATTGAAGATGGTTTTAACACCACCAGTGTAAGAGAAAGGATTTCGATTAAATACCCCTTGGTAGTTAAGTTCCACCATCGCAAACAGTCCATTAGGTTCCGATTGTGCCATTGCTGCGAGTTCTTTGTTTCTTTCAGCTCGATCACAGGAATGCTTCACAAACCCTAAATCAGTTTCTTTTACAGCTGAATAATGAAGAAGAAGACTAGTGAAGTTCGATAGCTGAAGACGAAAGGCTTTAAGCGTCGTATTTCATTGATTGGTGTGGCATATCTCACGTGGCATCAGATTAGACAAAAAATATATATTAATTGACAAAATGGCATCGTATAACCGGGAAACCTCCTAAAAGTTGCTAAAATGGTGTAATTAAAAGGTCAATTACAAGTTTAATGGTCTAATGTACCAAAAAAAACTTTAAGGACTAAATTAGTCAAATATTAAAAGTTCCATGTGCTACAGTGATATTATCCCAAAGAAAAATAAGTGACAAACTCACTTTCTTGTATTTGGTATGTATACTAATTAACATAGGAAACAAAATACAAAACTTGTAACCCAAAACTCAAAATCAAAAAAAGAAAAGGAAAAAAAAGAAAGTAAGAGAAAGTAGAGAGAGAACCAAAACCAGACTCACAGTGTGTACAACGATATATAAAGATCCCTTGCAAAGATAATAGATATAGGGGAGAAACCCTCAAAAAACCTCTTCTTTCGCGCTATATAAAGCTCGATCGGGAAACCCAATAGCATTTATTTATAAGATTTCGCCCTTTTGAGCTCCTTGAATCTGTGTGTACAGTGTTGATAGATTTTATACATATATTTGTATAGTTATTTATATATATATTGTATCTACGTCTACAATGGAGATGTCGCAGTCCGATCCGGTTACAGAATGGAGCTCATCTGGTGGTCAAATAGGGCTCGAAGGTAACGTACAATTTGCATTTTGAGATTTCAATTCGGATTTTGGTTTGAATTCGTGGGTCGTAATGCTAATTTCGTTGTTTGATTTGATGCAAAATGCAGAGCCTATGTGGCATTTAGGGTTAGGAGATGCGTCTGAATCGTATCCTGAACGGCCTGATGAGGCTGATTGCATCTATTATTTGAGAACGGGGTTTTGTGGGTATGGTTCTCGGTGTCGATTCAACCATCCTCGTGACCGTGGCTCGGTAATTTTTTTCTAAAATTCATGGTGATTGTGTGTTTATATATGTGCATTTGTCGATTTCTTGTGTGTTTTGATGTGATCATGTGTTGATTGCCTCAAAAGTGAAGCTTGTCTACAAATTGATTGGTCTTATATCCAATTTGGGCGTTCAAAGCTGTGGATTTTGAGGGAAATTGATATGTAGTCACAAACCTTTAATGCATTCTATGAAAGATGTGTTCATAATCCATGGCAGGTTATTGGAGCTCTGAGGGCTAGTGGAGGGGATTATCCTGAGCGTATTGGTCAGCCTGTTTGTCAGGTACTTTGTTTGAAATACTTGTTCTTAATATCACAATTTAGATGATTCTTATTTTTTTATGTTGTGAGCTAGATGAATTGAAATTCATACTCACATTATGCAGCTCAAAAGTTTCTCTTTTTCAAATCTTCCAAACTTGAAGTTGTTCAATGCATGTTCTTGCTAAAAATAGATCAAAGAGTGTTGCCCCTCCATATCCATGTGAGGATTCGGATCTCACCTGTTTCAATTCCAATGTGGATTGGGCTTCTTGTGGGCACTAACTCTTATGTTAGTGGGGCCACTGTATACTTGATTTACATCTCATATTATGCTCTTCAGGGGTTGCTCTAACAATACCCCTTTTGCTGAAAGAATGTCAGTATGCTGTATGCATATCATCCTATTTCTTGTATGTTTTCTCGTTTTGTTCTAAAGATATTTAGATATAAGTTTGTCTTTTTCTCTATTTCCATATTGGAAATCTTATTCTATTTGCTTGTTTATCTTTTGGGTCATGTAGAATAAAAGTATCCAACGTTATTGTATCTTATTGCTTCACAAGCTTATCTAATCTTTTGTTCTAGAAAACGATTAACATCAAAATACATGACTTTCTCTTTAGATTCATAGTCAAGAGCCAAATAACTTACATATGCTACTTCATTCTCTTTTTAATTTGGTCTTTGCAATCATTTTTGAACTTGAAATATTAATGCATGATTTTGCATGGAACATGATTGTAAAAATGGTGAATATGCTACGTGGCATCCAGTACTTTATGCGAACTGGAATGTGCAAATTTGGTGCTTCTTGCAAATATCATCATCCAAGACAGGGAGTCGGATCATTAAGCTCTGTGGCCCTAAATGTATCTGGATATCCACTTCGCCCGGTCAGTCCTTCCTTTTCGTCTTATTTGCTAAACATAACAGAACATGTTATACAGAACAGGTTATACTGTGTTTGGTATGCATTAGACTAATGTCAATGAGACAAAAGTTTCCATTTTGTATCCCACTCAAAAAGGTGGGACAGGAACAGAGACTCTATCTCTTTTCTATGAAAAAGACGTAAATACCCTTTTCGCCTTTATTATTGAAAATAAAGATGAAATATGTGGGACCAATGAGACAAAAAATAATAATTTTTTGTCTCACCCAAAAAGGTGGGACAGGGACAGACACTCTCTTTTTTGTGAAAAAGAGGTAATTACTTTTTTCGTCTTTATTATAAAAAATAAAGATGAAATATGTGGGAGTCAATGAGACAAAAATAACAAATTTTGTCCTACCCAAAAGGTGTGACAAGGACAAACTGGAGTTTTTGACCATAATAGGGTTGGTGGGAAAAATATTTACCATTTTAGTGTTTTTCTTCTTTTTCTTTTATTTTTTAGTTTTTTTTTTTTTTTTAATTTAAATATCTTATTTTTCTTTTTTCCTTTTTTATTCCGTCTTTTTATTGTTTTTCTCATTTTCTTTACTTTTTAGTTTCTTTTCAGTTTTTTTTTTAATTTAAATATCTTATTTTTTTTCTTTTTATTCCACCTTTTTATTATATATATATATATATATATATATATATATACATATGACAACTTTCATTTTAGTTTTTTTTATCCTTTTTTTATTGTTTTTTTAAATATATGTTTTTTTATTTGTTTTTTTTTGTTTTATTTAAATATTTGATTTTCTTATACAACCTTTTTACCATCAAACTTTAGCCTCAACATTAAAAAATCATAAAAAACCACCACTATAATCAAATTTTAAGGTGCAAAAATTTCAACATTCACATACAATGTTTTTAAAGTGAAAAAAATCTCAACATTGTTTCTTACAAAAAAAAACATCACAAAAAAAAAACCCAACATTGTTTATTACAAAAAGAAAAACATCACAATTAGCTTCATCTTGAACCGGTAAAAAATTATTACTTGTAAAAAAAATAATAATAACAAGAGAATAACTATAACAAATACCATAAAAATATTATTTTTTTAAATTACCTTGGCATAGACAGACATCGTTTTCGATTATGTCCCGTTAAATCCACGTGCTCGAGAATGGTTGGAGAGTCATCCACTTAATAGATATCTGTCTATGCCAAGGTAATTTAAAAAATAATATATATTTTTTTACAGGTAATGATTTTTTACCGGTTCAAGATGAAGCTAATTGTGATGTTTTTCTTTTTGTAATAAACAATGTTGAATTTTTAAAAAACAGTAAAAAAGGATAATAAAAAAAAGGAGCTTATATATATATATATATATATATATATATATATATATATATATATATATATAAAAATAAAAGGGTGGAATAAAAAAAAAAAAGAAATAAGATATTTAAATTTAAAAAAAAAAAACTGAAAAGAAACTAAAAAGTAAAGAAAAATGAGAAAAACAATAAAAAGTGGAATAAAAAAGTAAAAAAGAAAAATAAGATATTTAAATTAAAAAAAATAAACTGAAAAGGAAACTAAAAAATAAAGAAAAAGAAGAAAAACACTAAAATGGTAAATAGTTTTGAAAGAACACTAAAATGGTAAATATTTTTTCCATCCACCCTATTATGGTCAAAAACTCGGACAAACTGTCTCTTTTCTGTGAAAAAGACGTACATACCCTTTTTGTCTTTATTATCGAAAATAAAGACGAAATCTGTAGGACAAGGACAGATTGAGTGAGGCAAAAATAACAATTTTTTGTCTCACCCAAAAAGGTGGGACAGGGATAGGGACAAGGACAAACTCTATCTCTTTTATGTGAAAAAGACGTAAATACCCTTTTTGTCTTTATCATTGAAAATAGCCCTAGAAAGCTTGTCCAGCCCCATTCAGTTCTACTGTTTCATCCATTTGACCCTATTACTTCAACTTGTTACCTCAAAATGATTTTTTTTTTTTGTCACAGGGTGAAAAAGAGTGTTCATACTATGTGAAAACAGGGCAATGTAAGTTCGGGGTCACATGTAAATTTCACCATCCACAGCCAGCTGGCATGGTGGCATCACCAGTACCTTTGTCAGCCATGCCTTCTGCTATGTACCCAAATGTGCAATCTCCTTCTGTCGCCTCTTCTCAAGCTTACGGGGTGTTGACCGGCAACTGGCCTGTTGCAAGGCCGCCACTTGTTCCGGGCAGTTATCTGCCCGGAACTTATGGGCCCATGCTCGTGCCACCTGGCATGGTCCCGTTTCCCGGTTGGAATCCTTACCAGGTATTTCCAATATGCTTTTTTTTTTTTTTTAGTTCTTGAGTAACTTACATTTTTAGTCCCTAAGCTATAGTACTTTTGCTTTTTTTGGTCCCTGTAAATAATTATTGTTTTACATTTTGCAGGCATCTTTACATCCATCAGGGTCTCCTAGTAGCCAACCTATTATTGGACCAGGGCCAGGAGGATATGCAATGACTCAATTATCTCCTTCTGCCCCATCTTACCCTTTGACCAAAAGTCAAAAGGATCAACACGTGTTTCCAGAAAGACCTGGTGAACCTGAATGTCAGTTTTACATGAAGACTGGAGATTGTAAATTTGGTTCCTCATGTAGATACCACCATCCTCCTGAATGGAATCTACCAAAGTCAAACTTTGGGCTTAGCCCAATGGGCCTTCCTCTCCGTCCAGTAAGCCCTACCCTGTTT